ACTTTCAGACAAACTTAAAACTTTACAGGTGAACTTCAGACGAAGTTCAGCCTCGCAAGCGAACCTTTTAGCTTATTTGCTTGTTCCAAGCTGATTTAGAACAACTTTCTTCAAATAATCTCTATATTGCCTTGATATCTTTTACCCAAAAGGGTGAAGTGAGCAATATACTGCTCAAATCTTGATGTGTTTGTTGTACAACTCGTGCATGTCTAGATATCAACCAAAAGCTCCCTTTGTTAAGGATAGAGGCAATTTTATTTGCCTACAAAACCCCCTTCAAAGTTTCCAAACCTAAATTGGGTTGTATAGAGTCTGAAATATTTTGAACCTTCTTGTCTATGACGAGCGTGGTTTGTATGATGAGCTTGGCCTCTTGGCAAACTTCGATGCTTTGGGGTGAACTTTATGGTTCCAGGTGAAGTTTGTCATTTCTGGGTGAGCCTCGAAACTTTGAGATGAAGTTCGACTACTTGTTGAGTCTCATCGTTCTGTGCGAGGTTCATTGAGTGAGATGAGATTCATCACTATAATGATCCTCGTCTGACTTGTAGTGATCTTCGACCCTCCTTTGTCTCTTGGCATTTTTTAGTGCCTACAGGCGACAGAGAAGATGGAGACAGAGGTCATCCATCGAGATAAGTCTTCTCTGGGTGAACCGGTCGAGGCTCCTACATTGGGAGCTCAAGTAATATTATGATCTCTATGATATCCCCAAGGCCTTCACATTGGCGGCGCCCAACAGGGATGAGCTGGTGTATCACTATGGCGAGAACCAAGCATCATTGTACCTTGCTCATCTCGAGTATGGGCTACGGCTACCGTTCCATCCCTTCATTAGGGATGCATGCATTACTCTGAGGGTTCTCCCTCTCAATTTACCACAAACGCCATTTGGGTTCTCGTTGGCTTTGTTGTTATTTATCACCGAGTCAGTGTCTTGCTGACCATGTGACTGCTTGGGCATCTAGTTGGCGTCAAGTTGACTAGGAAGGACCCGCACTACTTCTTCCACTACAGTGAAAGTTTTAGGTTTTTCTCAGACGCTCCAGAGTCCAACAGGGACTGAAAGGTGCACTTCGTGTAGGTCTTCAGGGCCGACGACATTCTCGCTTGCCCTAATTAGCCTAAAGTGACAAAGGACCCACTGGTGCCATGTGTCCTTGACCACGAGGAGAGGCGACAACTAGAGAAGATCTGTTCCCACGTGAGAATCTGAGGCCGACAAGATCGGCGAGGTGCAGAGAAGGTTCTGGTCGTTCCACCATGGGACTCAAGAGCTTACTAGCCGGTCTTGGGAGAGGGCGAGAATCATGCTGGTAGGAGAGCCGCTGATCCCCTACTCGCCTAGGGATGAATTTCCCGAGGGCGACAGGTTTGTCCCGGAGGTGCCCCTCGATGTGGAGATTTAGATCATGGGGTCCTTAATCGCCTTGATCGATAATATACGTCGGTTTTCCCTTCCGGGGGACAAGAGGATCTTGAGGGAGATACCAAATGTAGGCATACATTTGGCCCTCAAGACCTACTTGGTCCGGGGGGCTTTGCTGGAGGAGGAGTTGTTCGATCGGTTCGAGTACATGCATGAGTCTGCGCAGGAGTGGCATGCGGAGCAGAAAAGAGAATAACTGCCTTGGAGGCTAAGATGAACAGCAGGGAGGCTGCTTAGCTCCGGGAGCTGGATGAGAAGGAAAGGCTCCTGAAGGAGTACCGAATCCAGTGCCCCAAGCAGTTGGGCTCCATCAAGGAGCTCAAAAGAGAGGTGGCCCGGCTGAAGGAAGAGGTCGGTCATCTACAACAAGGGCTTATGATGATGTCAGTCACGTTGCTTCTGAAGTGACTTTTCTGTTCTCATTCAAAGCACTCATGTCTCAAAAGCTAATTTGATTTTACTCGGACCCGACTCAAGTCGACTCCAAGCGAAAGGGGCCAACTGTTATGGTATTCTCTATTTGTCAAAGTGTAATTCAGTGCTAAGCAACAAACAAGTATACTACCACATGTCATGCCCCAATCAACTTAGCGGCTAAAGACCAATAGAGATGACAACTCAGCCAACTAGTGGAGTCGATATCCCTCGGCTCGAAAGGCTGTACTTGTCGCTCCCTTTGTCGAAGACAACTCACCATGAGTCCACCTGACCACTTGCCAGATGCCTTGCGATGTCGACTCGAAAGGCGTTACTTCTCGACAAAGCTAAAGGATAACTTCTGCCTCGAGCCTATCCTTTCTGGCAATGTATCAACATCGCATTTAATGCATGTCAGAAACATCATGCCTTTAGCACTGATAGCCTTCATGGCTCATCGGACCACATGGGCACTGCTATGCCGCCAATCACTTCTCGTTCAATGCCGAAGTGATTCATCCCCCACTCGCCACCCAACACCTGTAAAGCAGGTGCTGACGCAGCCGCCAGGCTACACTTTATCACCGCCTCTCAATGCTCGGTCGAAGTGACCGATCTGCCCTTATACCCTATGTATAAATAAAGGTACTATTCTACCTTGAGAGAGATCTCTCTCTGATCCGGATTCTGATCGAGATCTTGATTCAAAAATCTGATCCTTTACCAATCACACTGTACACAAGAACTCTCCCAGTTCTCATTTTTAACCCACTCAAGTTTATCATCCAACTTGATCGTCGGAGGTACAACGAGGGAACCAAATCACGTCCTCTCACGAGCTTCTACTTGTGCAGATTCATCTACCTTATTCAAAGAACCAGACATAAAGTCAGGGAAGAAAGAGGCCCCTCATAAATCCCCAACAAACTCATCCAAACACGAATACATATTGACTGTGTGATCACTAGTACATCAACACTACGTTAGCAAAGCTCGTCCTCTCATGAGCTTCTACTTGTGCAGATTCATCTACCTTATTCAAAGAACAAGACATAAAGTCGGAGAAGAAAGAGGCCCCTCATAAATCCCCAACAAACTCATCCGAACTCATTCCCCGGCCAAAATTAATAGAAAATAATCTGTTGTGATCAAGTACAATTTTTTGTAGGATTTTAAGTTCTTTTTTTTTCTGGTAACAATTAATTTTGAACTTTCTATTTGTAGGTAGGTTGCATGAGTCACAACTTACCCCGTCTTCCAACAAAAAATTTTGTAACTGTAACTTACATTCAAATAGTCATAGATGCTTATTATTTATGGTGTCTGTGTAACTGTTCTATCATAAATATCACAACTCCAGTAAAAACAGATAATAGCAACAATAACAAAAACCGCAACGGATGCAAATATCACCAGTTAAACATAGTTCTTTTTCCTAATTTTGATAGATTAGGTTGATCCCTATGCAAAAAACATTAATAATACATTTGTTTTGTTTATTATTATTATTATTAAATTTACCCTAAACACAAGAATAAAATAGAAAAATAAAAAATAAAGGAGCTCAAAAACACTTTCTGTACACAACACACAACAGGTGTAGTACTACCCTAACATTAAATACCCAAAAATAACCACCACGCCTCGACACGTGCCGAACACAATTCCGGGCCACCCGTGACGTCACCTGACCGTTACAGCCTCGAACACAGCGCCAAACTCGCCGCAGCCTCCCCAACAACAGAATCCATCACCTCCTCCTCAACCTCCAACGCCGATCCTCTCCGCCTCGGCCCCACCAGCCGCGTGTGGATGAGCAGCCGCCTGACCTTCGCCTCCGCCAAATCTCCGGCGACGAGCGCGTCGATATCCTCGATCACTTGGCAGTCTGCCAACGGAAAACTCCTGATTTGCGTCCAAACTCGATCCAGCAGATTCGCCTTGTTGAGCCTCGGACGACAAGCGAGGAGGTCGGCCAGGACTTCTTGGACGAGGTGGAAGAGGAGTTTCCGGTTCGAGCGGTGGCGGATCGGGTTGCGGTGGCTTAAATAACGAGGGAAGAGCATGGGGAGGTCGAGCTCGAGTTGGTGGAAGATGAAGGGGTCGACTGCTAGTGAAGGGGAGTAGCGTCTTGGTTGGGCCGGGTTCGTGATGCCGGATCGCTGGAGGATTGATTGCACGTAGAGGAATTCTGGGTCCTGCTCTTTTGGGGCTCGTGCATCCTTGAACTGTAGCCAATGGAAATTTAATTATTAGGACATGTCGATCGAAGTACTACGTAAACACTTCAGCTGCAGTAAGTGCAGCTGAAGGCATATACGTGAGGAGGTCATCAGCAATTCACCACAACTTTTTATGAACAAAAACTACGATGCACAATTAAAGGGTTATTTCTGTGTGAATATATATGTATGCACGTAATTATTATGTTAAAAATTCTAAAAAAGGAGTAACATGTTACTCCCATAGGTGTATTATTCAAAAAATACGACTTACGCCTCGCTGTTCTTCGGCTGAGAAGGCGGAAGCTGGAAGATAATCTTCCCTCGATACTGACGTTGCAGCATCGTAGCTTCTTTTCATGTTTTCCCGACTTAGTCCGTGTTTCTGACTCGACGATGCCGCTAGGTTTGGCGATGATGATTGTGAGGGCAGCGGCAACGTTAGACGGCTTAATAAGGTTGAATCTGACCGAGTTGCTGCCTCCGATAAGGGAGGATTCTTCTTGATCCTATCGGTGAACTTTTCAGTGCTAGCTTTCTTACAGCTGCCTGCGACTATCTTGGTCGGCTTTGTAGTTTCAACATTCTGATCTCTAACTCGGAGAACAGAAGTCGTTGCTGGTTTGGGCTGAGGATGTTTTGGTAAAACTTGAGGCTTTGGAGACTTCAAAAACCGGTTCCTGTCGTCCTCAACTAAAAACGTCTTCTCTCCGCGTTGAGTATTCTCCTTGACTTGCTGCTTCACGATCCCCCTCGCGTAATGATGACTCCTCGGACTCCTATTCTCGTCATTCTCCTTCAAACAGCCCTCCTTCTTCCTCGGTTTGTTACTATAACCTTTGGTCGGGGAAGGAGGCAGCGACGAATACTCACACAAACACCCCGCTCTGTTCACGTTCTCTTTGTTTATCTGCAACGACAGCCTCGGATCAGCGTCTCTCGATCTCTCTGATGAAGCTCTCGGCGTGTCTGGCAGCGATCGAGTCCGGCTGTCGATTTTTTGTGCTAATTTTAGGCGAGGAGTTGAGAGATTTGAAGCTTGCTTTGGGGGTCGATGGACCTTCGGACGACACATCTAGGCCCATGAGCCTAGCGACCAAATTGGTGGTTCTTGGGGTTATGCATTGGGATTGGGAGTCCCTCTTCTCGTCCTCCTCCAAACCCTGATTCTTTTTGTTCTGCTTCTTCAGTGATGGTAACGGCGCAGAGTTTACTTGAATCCCAATCTGTAATTTTTTTCAGAAATTTAGCTAGCAGCTTAATTAAGGTTCGTGACCCGTTATAATTTATTCACAGAAAACAGCTTACAGGAATTCCGTAGTAATCTTCGGCTGCTATTGCGAAAGCAGTGGATGCTTTTGCTGCAGCAGACCCCTCGTCTAGCTCTAAACTATTTCTTGGCGCCTCAACTCCTGCATTTTTACCCTAAACACGTTACTCTTCCATTAATGAGAGGGGCAAAAAAAAAGGGGGGGGGCAAACGTTCATTTCGTTCTCTATTTCTTTATTGTCTATATTTCTTACCACTGAACTGAGAATTAGACGAATGACGACGGATCTGAGGAGAGGAGCTCTGAGCCACCCTGCCGCTGTTGCTGCTTGGAGTGAAGAGAATGTTATGGAAATCCAGGAACTGGAACACGCCGCTCATGCATCCTGAAACCTCTTTCTCTCTTTTAGCAAGGGAACGGTACCACTCTCTTCTACCCATTTTCTTTTCTCTCTCTCTGTTTTCACTCATTGCAGTACTTTGCATAAAGTTTTATCTTCAAAGAGGAGCAAGGAGAAGATAAAGGAGCGCGCAAGTCGAGCCAGAAGCGGGGCTGCCAAGGATTTGGATTCTCTTTTTGAGGTTCAACTAACCTTTCAAGCAAATACTAAATATTCTTTATTCTTTTGTTACTTTGTACTCGGGTGGAAGGTAAAGTTAGTTTGGCAAAGGAAAAGTTAGCATAAAGTATAAAGGTTCAAATTTATAAGGAACACCCTTCACTTTTTTATTATTTCCTATCCAATAGCCTAATAGGTTCCGTTCTTATGTGTGGGAATTAAAGGCTCTGAAAGATTTAAGTTTAAAAAATATGCTAGCTGACATCAGCAATGGTAAAAGAACCTTAAGAATCATGTTGCGATAACGTATGCATACTTCAGTCGCTTAATTTCTCGCGTTTTTTGTTGTTAATTCTTTTTAAAAAAGAGGTTTTAGTTTTTATAAAATTTTAAAGTGTTTGAATTTTAAATTAGATTGCTGGAGTTGTTAAATTGGGTCATGTTCCACACATATCTGGGATGATTGAACCTGGGTCGTAGTTCACTATAGCGTCTCAAGTTTCCGATTTCTATGGTTTAATTTTCTAAGGGTCTGTTTGGCAACTTCACATTGATCCAATTAGACCTTAATCGGGTTACGATTGCATCAAGGTGGGATGATCCAAAGATAATGTAATTAAGTACCTCGTTTTTAAAATAAAATTAAGACAAACTAGTCCAGTCTTGTACAAGTTTTTGTCGAACACAATTTAAGCTCTTCTCCAAGTTAGTGCATTCATATAAGATAGTGGCTGAGTTGCAAAACAAGCCCTAAAACAGAAAAGTAAAGCAATTATTCAGTTTATCAAGTTTTAATTATTTACTCAAAGGTTTGGTATATTTAAGAGAGAAGATGTATGTATTTATGATTCATCCTTAAATGTTAAATGGCTATTTTAGTAATTCATATACTCAATTTCAACTTCTCATTAAACATGGATCATAATCGACACTACAGTTTTATAACTATGAAAGTGATCTCATTATTATTTTGTCGAAAAATTCCCCAATGACCCAAAATATGGGATCAACAGGAAGGACAAGTGAGGTGTCCCCCTCATATTGTATAATGAGTTGGTCATCATTAATGATGACCAGCTCATTATACAATAGAAGGATGACACCTCACCTACCCCCTGTTGGTCACATATTTTGGGTCTCTATAGCAAAGCTCTTATTTGGTCACTATAATCGCAATAAAAAAAATCGATGTGGTTAATTAGTGTCTATGAAAAGTTATATTATGATTTTTTTTATCTATTACACAATTCATGCTTCAAATAAAGAAAACTTTCAAGATAGGTATACTAATTTTCAAAATCCTTCTACCTTAGGATGGTTGTTTAAATGTAAGCCAGAAAGAAAGCATGAAAGTGAGATATTTTCACCCACTTTAATTAGAGGTCTATTTTGATGAAACTAATTAGTACTAAGGAAAGTGAGAGTGAAGTTCACCATATAGAATATCTTTCAACTTTATCTTCCTTAAAAAAAATTAACCAAGTGAGTTTTGAAAGTGAAGAGGTAGATAGAAAAGGTATTTCATTAGCTTGAAAAAGAAATGCAAAAAAGTGTATCTCATACTAAAATATGATAATAGTAAGTGGTGTGGAAAATTTGAAATGCTTGATCAGTTCATGCTATAAGGATGCAAAAATAAAGTTGTCTGCATTATATCATGTAATACATTCTTTTGCAAATGATGTGGAATGGTTCAAAACAGTCTGGGGGGATTAAACATTCCTAAACATTCATTTGTTGGTTGGCTTGCATTTCAAGATAGACTGCTCACACATGACAGGCTTCATAGGAGAGGTGTCATTAATGCAAATTCTTGTCTTCTTTGCTCTGGTGTAGCCAGTGAAACAAGAAACCACATGTTCTTTAGTGTGTTTTTTCGGCAAATGTCTGGAATTGTATCATGAGCTGGCTAAACTTTAAATGGATCGATCTTGCAATTGGTTACATATAGTGAATTGGTATGCTTACAGGTTGAAGGGTAGGGGGTTAAAGCAATATCTCAAGAAGATGGCTTTGATCACCACTACATATTTCATCTGGAGAGAACGAAACCTGAGGCTTTTTCAGCAGAAGACTAGAAGTCCTTAAGTCTTGGTTAGAGATGTCAAATTTGATGTTTTGACATCCATTCTCAACAGCCCTTCAATTGCAAGCAGTGATGTTGCTTTGTGTAGTCAAATTTGATGTTTTGACATCCATTCTCAACAGCCCTTCAATTGCAAGCAGTGATGTTGCTTTGTGTATTTTTGTCATTTGAGTATCTGTTTTTTTTTAACAGCCCTTCAATTGCAAGCAGTGATGTTGCTTTGTGTATTTTTGTCATTTGAGTATCTGTTTTTTTTTTAATATTCATTTAGCAATTCATTTGTAATCTCAGTTAAGGAACACTGAGTATATGATGTACATATAATTTTCATACTTGGTTAGTGAATAAAATTTTTTCATTGACCAAAAATGATAATAGTAAAGTACCGTTTTTTAAACAGTTCAACCTTGAGTCATTTCACACTATACTTTTGATGTGAAGATACTCTCCCACTTTAAGAGCAAATAATAATAATCCTAACCAGATTACGCCCCTAAACTATCTAGACTATCTAGACAGAAAAGTGCGGTGTACTTTGATTAGTCATTAATTTTGATTAAAAACTTAAGAGAAAGAATTCTACAAATTCCTCTAGTAGGCTGAGTGTGAATCATATCAGAATGTTCTGCTCCATGAAAGATATTCCAGATTGCACATACAAAATAAGGTACCGTTTAGCAAAGGGTTAAGTGAGGGGTTAAGGAGACTTAACTCCTTCTTAACCCGCCAAATATAAAAAATCTATACAATGGTTAAAGTGAGTTAACCCTCCATAATTTGCCAAACATAAAAAAATATAGAAGGTTTAATCTAACCCCTCTAGAGGGATTAAAATAAGTTAACCCCTTAAAATGAGGGGTTTACTAATACTCCTATTTAGAATGATTAAGAGTTAACCCTTCTAATTATAAAGAAAATAGTCAAAACTATTGTTATTCCCAAACACTAAAACTGGTTATAATGGCTAAAATAAAACTTATTTAATGGGTTAATAATTTTAGTCTTTCAGATTATCGAATGTGCTAAGTATATTAATCATTCTTTTTAACTCCTTTTCCTTAATCCTTTTGCCAAACGGGGCCTAAGAGGGCAACTTTTAATACTCCACTATCACTCAAAATGGAGTAGATCGCCCCTATGACTTGGTTTGGTAGAAGGGCGCGTAGAGTAAGGTAATGAATAAAATTTAAACTCGTCTTTGGTAGGGAGTTTTTAGAGGGTAATTAAGCTAAAGTCAAGTGAGACGAAGATAAAGAAAATGAAAAATAAAGTAGAAAGTGAAGAGTGGGAAAATCCCTTCAATTTGGAGCGACACCAAAGTGAAGAGAGAGAAAATATAAAATAAACTAAAAAAAAATCATGTACCTCTCCTACCAAACAAAAACCACAAAATGTACATCCCTTCTTGTGCCTATTAAACCTTACACTATCTTACCTTCTGTTCTTATACCTCCTACCAAACCAAGCCTATGTAGTGGAATGTTCTCATGGGACTTGCATCATAGTTCAGTAATAGTCTACTTATCACTGCCACTTTCACTCCATTTTCAGATTAGCGGATTACCAAACACGCACCCGCTATTCAAACATATCATTGGATCACCAACAGTCAAATGAACACAATGATTTAGGCTCTTCCTCCCCTCTGTGGTAAGGTACTAAGCTCTACTGGGTCTAATTGAGATTTGAGATATATAAAATTAAAAAAAAAAGATTTCCTATAATAATAAAAAAAACATATGTTAATTTTGCACACTATTTTTGAACAAAGGACTTTTGCATCAGAACAGCAGAAAGTTGTTATCATCCCTTATCTTTTTACGCCCCCAACCCAACGGGTTCCTCTTCGGGGACCGAGACCATGACGACGATATGACCACGAGACCCCATGCCGCGTGTTTTTAGTTTCATCCCCGCCTTCTGTTTATTTACATTTTCTTTCAAAATTTATTTTGCAGATTGCTGACGTCTGGTCTATCCATTGGAGAATACGGCGATGGCAACTACCTGCCCTTGTTTATTATATTGTCTGAAATTTTCTGACACTACTCAGAATATTTAACCCACCCCTACGCTGAAAAAGAGGTGGTAACCATAACCTGCTTTTTATTTTATTTTATTTTTTTTCCTGACTTTATCAAAATTCGAATTTGCTGTGGAGAAATCAAGAAAAGAATCAGAAAAACCAGAAAAACTGGCATAAGTCGACTCATGCACTGTGCACGAGTCGACTTACGATCTGCAGCCGAATTGTGATTTTAGCCTCTGTCAAGTCGACTTAGCATGACTGTTAAGTCGACTTATGGCAAGTCGACTTAACAGTCTGTTAAGTCGACTTATGAAGTGTTCTCCAGTTGTTGATTTTCTCTCTGTCAAGTCGACTTGTGAGCTCTGTTAAGTCGACTTACGACGGGTTTTTTGCATACGCAGGTTTCCTATTTGCAGTCTGATTGGGGTTTTGTTTTGATATAAATAGGGAAACGATTTGTGAGGGTTTTTTATCAGAGATTGAGGAATCTTTTGAGCATTGTGAGAGGGAGATATTGTGAGCAAGGTGAGATCTTTGGTTGAGGGTTAGTTTGAGAGAATTTGTGTGATTGTAACCCTTTGTACTCTCCTTGATTTAGTGAAATCTCCCCATCCTCTCCCCGTGGACGTAGGCAAATTGCCGAACCACGTATATCTCTGTGTTTGGATTGATTTGGCTTTATTGGTTGGATTTGTGCAAGAGTTTGTCTTTCTTCTACTCGTGATCACAGGTTCGTTGTGAGTTCGTGCAAGGCTTCCGCAAAGGCGCGCGACATTTGCTTGCTTTATAAAAGCAGGGGATTACTTAATAACAATGATCCTGTAATTATGATGTTAATTAGCTGTCTAAATCTCAGAAATTGCTATTCCACGAAGTCTCGAAATTAGAGTGCTGCTTCTTTAGAGCATGGATTTAGAAGAAAATTGATCACTAGCTGAGTAGCGATAATTACAGTACTCTACT